AGATTTAGGATCCACAGCTATGTACGTCCGTCTGAACCCGTGGCGAAGAATTTCTTGTTGTGATAAATAACATCTTCAAAATATAATCCATTACCTCCAACCTCAATATTCGTCCAGGTTTTGTTCACTTCTCCATAAGCCCACTTGCCTCCTGTAATTAACGCCATAACTTGGAGTTCGACCTCCCTCATTAGAAATTACCACTTTTCTGAAACAAGAAGGGTCGAACTTGTTGGACTCTAGTTGAAGTCTATAAACTCTGATTATCTCCTTACTCGATAATCCAGCAAGTTTAAAGATTTGGGTAACAACTGGGAGAACTTTTCGGAACAAAGTTTAAAGACAGGATCCCCGACTCGGACTTTGCCGGAGGTCAATTCTCGACTTTGAGGACCCACGTTTCTCCGGGTTGCTGTGTGGAGTCGAGGGGTTCAAAGGCGTATATGGTGGACTGGGCGAGAGAGAGGTCGCATAGGGTAAGTGTGAGGGTTTGAGGGAAGGAAAATTTGAGATCGGAGCGGGGGGAGAGGGGGGGTGGAGGAGGAGGAAATGAGCGTCGAAATGAGTTACAGACGGCGCGGAAAGAGAGGATGTCGATGCGTGTGGCGAGGCGTTTAGCGATGGCGTTGAGAGGAGTTCGGGGAGAGTGGACCAGTCTGGTTGAGTAGTGTCCATGGGAGAAAAAGGAGAATGGGTGTTTGTGGGATTTTCAGTTGCGTAGTAGCTTTGAGTTTAGAAATTTGTGATGTTGTTTTCTTGTCAAAATCATGTGGTCATGTTATTGTGCACTAGAAGATTCATTGTATCTACACATTATATGAGTTAGATTTATATGGTTAGTTTGGATGGGGGATATGGTTTGGTTTCAAATAATAAAATATGTTTTCATTATTATTATTATTATTTTTTCACTTATTCTCATGAAGATTTTGCAATGATTTAAAGGATTCAAGTTATAATTCAATGCAATGAAGGATGCCTGATTTAACATAAAGGAGGACCAATTACTCCATTAATATTAGAATAAAAAGATAGCTTGTAAATTATTATATTAATAAATTACTTTTTAATGTTGGCAAAAATGTGTATTCTAGTTGTCATCTGATAGATTAATCTCCCAGGACCTTAAAGTTAAGAATTGGATAAACCTTTAGTGGTCATCCCTATTAGCAATTAAGGGGAATCAAAATCAAGATCACTTGAGTAATACACTCAAGAGTCTTCATCGTCCCATCCAGTCATCCAAGAGTTGTTAATTGTAAAATCTTTCACTTTACTTTAATACCCGCAAATATAATGTTTATTGGGTTAGTATTCAGAACCATTGCATAAAGTAGTAATAATTTAAAAGGATCAATGTTATGTTATATTTTATTGACAACCTAGCCAATTTCCTCTTACGTATTTAGGTTATTTCAAACCCTTAAGAGATAATGAAATATTGAGCACGCCTACAATTTTAAAAAGTATGTATATATTTTATTGACAACACTAAGCATTTTCCTTCTTAAGTATTTTAGGTTATTTCAAACCCTTAAGAGATTGTGAAAATTAAGCACGCCTACGTTTTTTTTAAGTATCGTGCGATCCTTACAATTGATATTTGATACTTTTTCAGGGGGACAAATAATAATCCAAAGGAGTATATAATATTTTATAAAGATTAAGGTTCGTTCTATGTTTCACTATTTCTCAATGGGCTCTTCGATAAGCTCATGGGCGGCTTGATCTTATTTTACCACGAGGAACAAATATAGATTTCCATCTCTAAGTTTATTTTAGCATAACTCACTCCATTTTGAGTGTAAAGTGGTGTCAAACCAAAATACCAACAAACATAACTCTCTTAAAAAAAAATGTGATTAAGTTGTCAGTAAGTGCTGTCAAGCTCTAAATTTTTTTTTTTTTTTTTTTTTTTCTATTTCTTCAAAAAAATACTAATTATTAAAAAAAATGATATCATTTGGTTTAAAAATGAAGGGATGAGTAATTTACTCATCTTAATTTTATGCCACTCTCATCAATTCCCTCCAACATTCACATTCTCCAAATCCCATTAAACTTTTTGAAACAAAACTCTTTAATCTTCACCCAAATCAAAAGTTCACTTCTTCAACTTCTTTAGCTTCAATTTCTCCAACCCACTTCGCTCCACCCTCCCAACAAACCCTACTTGTAACCCCTTGAAACCTGCAAATCCATGGACCATCTTAAACAAATCCACTCCCAAACCATAAAACAGGCCTTTTCACAACCCCAGCGTCCAAAATAAACTCATTGCCTTCTGTTGTACTCATGAAAATGGGAACATGGACTATGCTTGTCAAGTGTTTGATAAAATTCCCCAAGTACTGTGTTTGCCTGGAATACATGATAAAAGGGTATTCTAGGATTGATTTGCATAGGAACGGGATTTGATGTACTTAGATATGCTTAATAGCGATGTTAAGCGGATAATTATACGTTCCCCTTTGTTGAAGGGTTTTTCACGTGGTGTTGCTTTAAAGTTTGGTAAAGAGTTGCTTGTCATGTGGTGAAATTGGGGTTGGTTCTAATGTGTTTGTGCAAAATGCGTTGATTAGTGTGTATTCTTTGTGTGGTGAGATTGATGTGGGCGAGGGATTTTTTTTATGAGTTGTAAAGAGGATGCGGTTACCTGGAATGCCATGTTTTCAGGGTATAATAGAATGAAGAGGTATGAGGATACCAGGAAGCTTTTTGGTGAGATGGAGATGAAAGGAGTGTTATCTACTTCAGTACCTTTGTTTGGTGCTATCAGCTTGTGCTAAATTGAAGGATCTAGATGGTGGAAGCGGGTACATAGGTATGTTAAAGAGTGTAACATTTAACCTAATTGATATTGGAAAAGCTTTGATTGGATGTATGCAGCTTGTGAGAAATGGATGTTGCACTTGAGATTTTTGGAATGATGAAAAATAGAGATGTAATTTCTGGACTGGTATTGCTTTGGGATTTTGGAATAGAGGACAAGTTGATTTAGCTCGGGAATTTTTTGATGAGATGCCAATAAAGATTATGTCTCATGGACAGCCCTGATTGAGGGTATCTTCGAGTGAATAGGTTCAAAGAGGCTTTAACTCTTTTCGTGAGACGCAAACCTCAAATATAAGGCCAGATGAGTCACCCATGGTCAGCATTCTTTCAACTTGTGCTCATCTGGGGGATTAGAATTAGGAGAATGGATAAAGACTTACATTGACAAATATAAGGTGAAAAATGATACATTTGTGGGGAATGCTTGATTGACATGTACTGTAAATGTGGAAATGTCGAGAAAGCACGAAGCATATTTAGAGAGATCCTTCGAAAGACAAATTACATGGACGGCATGATTGTTGATCTTGCCATTAATGGACATGGTCAAGAAGCTCTTGATATGTCTGAAATGCTTAGAGCTTCAATAACACCAGATGAAGTAACTTATGTTGGTGTCCTTGTGCCTGTTCTCACAGTGGCAGGTAGATGAAGGAAGAAAGTATTTCTCTGGCATGACCAGCCAACACAGTATTGGCCTAATGTAACACATTATGGATGCAGGGTGATCTTCTGGCCGAGCTGGGCGTCTAAAAGAAGCTCTGGAAGTTATTAAGAATATGCCAATGAAACCAAATTCAATTGTCTGGGGAGCTCTTCTCAGTGCATGTGAGTTCACAAAGATGCAGAAGTGGCTGAAATGGCAGCAAGAGATTCTTGAGTTAGATCCTGATAATGGAGCTGTTTATGTTCTGCTCGGTAATATATATGCTGCTTGCAATAGATTAGATAATCTGCGTGAAGTTAGACAATGATGCTTGATAGAGGAATCAAGAAAACCCCTGGCTGCAGTTTGATGAGAATGGTGTTGTCACTGAATTTGTTGCTGGGGACCAGTCACATCTGAAACGAGAGAATCTACTTGAAGTTGGAAAAAATGACAAGTGACTTGAAATTTGTTGGGTATTTGCCTGATACTTCGGAGGTTCTTGATGTAGGGGAAGAAGCAAAGAGAGTGCAGTTTATCGGCATAGTGAGAAGTTGGCTATGGCATTTGGGTGATCAATTCAGAACCTGGGGCCACGATTAGAATTGTGAAGAACCTCGAATGTGCATGGACTGTCACCATGTGGCGAAATTGGTCTCGAAAGTGTATGATAGAGAAGTGATTGTCCGGGATAAAACTCGATTCCATCATTTCAGGGATGGATCATGTTCATGTAAAGATTATTGGTGAGTTGAATTAGGGTTTGATTCTCATTATTTGATAATTAATTGTTATTACTTCTTTCCTCCTAAGAGCATTTGATGCCAGAAGTACATAATCATGGCTTTGCATGTGTTAGTAGAATATCTTCAAACTTTCATAACTTGCTGGATTTATAGTTTATACTATAGTTTATATTTTCTGATTTTGTTGACGGCGAACTTTTTGATAACTACAACACTATATGAGCACGCCACATTCATTCTGCAATCCAAGAAAGAAGTAAATTTTGGACGAAGTTCGCAAATTTTTATCATTGAAAACATATTATCAACCATTGAGAAGCACTTAAGGAAGGGATGTGGTAAGAGCAGAGGGAAGGATTCCGATGAGACCATCTTCAAGTATTACTCAGAAACTTGCGTATTGTCAGAAAAATATATCCAGATTCTTTAGGGAGAAGTGACTTTCTTAATGAAATCTTTTAAGTAATTCATTTTCCATTGACTCCGATTCATAATTTACCCGACGAATGTATTACTCTGCCTTGGCAATCAGATGTTTTATGTCACACATACATTACAATCCCTTGCAAACACATCAGGACCTCAATCTGCAGTGTCAAATAAATTAATGCAAACTAACACTTCTTTTGAATTCATGTACTTGCTGCTGACATTATACCAACCAAACACGTTAAATGATAGGATTTAATGAAGAAACAGTGCTACAAAACAGCTTTCAGAAACTTAAGTTCAAATGAAGAGCTACCAGCAACTATAACATCACAGTAATTCCACTAAAGAGGATCAGGCTGACTATCAGCCAGGATTTATTACTGGAAGTCTGCAATGTAAACTGATTGATTTATCTGTTTGACGTGTACCAGGAAAGAAAAACTGGAATATAACTGTCAAGCAAGCACTCTGTGGAAGAATCCCATAGAATGCACAATCTGGTTTTGCAAGGTGAAACTGGAGACTCTTGGAAAAGTGTTTGACACTTACTTGTACAGACTGAGCATCTCCCCGCAAAATTGCCCTCTCTGATCGACTCTGAGCACTGAGATGCTGTTCGTCAGATGGAGCAACAGCTTGCTCTCCAATAACCGGGAATTTTCTAAACTCAGTACCAAGTCTGATCAGAGTTGTTGAAACTTGTACATGCACATCGCCGTACTTGCTTATGAAGACATTAAGCAAATCTCCAACATGCTTCATCCGGTATATATAATTCTGCAACTGATTTAAATCTGGAACCTGAACCAGAGTCTGAGGCAAATCTTGAGCCATATCTAGAGCAGTCTGAAGCTCAAGAACTTGAGCCCTTGACAATGGTTTTGAAATAGGGATGTCTTGGATTACAGCAGACTTATACCCCTTGGTTTCAAATGTAAGGAAAGGCATTGGCTGTGTACAATTTGGGGGCAGCTTCTTCACCAACTTTATCTGGAGGCGATTAGCAGTGGAGCCACCACCACCAAATTCAGAACAAATGCTGACACTACTACGGACTGCACGTTGGAGAATAGATATGTCGATGGCAAACGCAATGCGGTCCTCATTCTGGCTTGAGATACGGTAATCATCAAACAGAGTTTCTTTGTGAAACTGTGCAATGCATTGAATCCCATCACCACTGAGAAGGTTGTGAAGGAAGAATGCATGGTCTCTAGTGAGGAAGAGGTGGCATATTTTCCCCATTTTGTCTAAGGCTGGAAGAAATCTCCTTTCTAAGAGATTGACTCCATTCTCCGTCAGAAATGCCTTGAACTTCATCTCTGTCTATTACTCTATCCTCACTTCTCAGAAAAACAATTGAACATACTGCCCAAGTAGAGAGGAGATAGAAAAAGTATCAGAACAATACTCAAGGCTCATATGCACCCTAGAAATGCAGATTTAATTGGCTGGTATTAGGAAAAAAGGCAATGATTCAACCTTTTTGTAAATAAAAAAAATTATATTATCAAGTACTAACCTAGAAAGATGAATATTGCATGATGGAAAGAATTTGGAAAATAATGGTAATATGTTCACCAACTTCTAACTTATACTCAAAAAAATGTAGCCTCTTTCTCCAGAACTCATTAAGCTTTAATATGGTGCAGAACACAGAAGTTAATAATACTAACTAGATATTGTAGTGCAAACAATTTTTGGAACAGAACCAACATGATGTAATATATCTGCCCTGCACAAACAGTCTCACACCATGTCCTTAATGATCATTTTTACATAGGAAATCACTCAATGCAGCTTTTTTTCCAAAAAAAAAAAAAAAAAAAAAAAGAAAATGATGTATGCTAATGTGAAATTAGGTGAAAGTTCAAACAAAAAGAAGGCACTTAATAAAGATATCACTCATACATCAACAAGGTTCAACTAAATACTAATTAATCATTACAGTGGTAAAAAAACAACTGCAGATTCAGGAGGAAGCGGAAAGCTTTAATTATGAAGAAGATCCTATTCATACCAAATGCTGTATTGGCAGTGATAAGACAAACCATCACAGAAAACAGGTTCAACGAAAAGAACAATAATAATATCAAAAAATAAATTTCTTTTTTAGGCTAAAATAAATTCAAGGGAAATAAAGAAAAAAAAAATCCAGTTATACACAAACAAAGTCAAGCATAACTCCATATCACACACGCAAAAACCTATAACTTGAAAGCGGAAATCTTATACTATTAATATTAAATCCTATAAAAAGTTCTCATTTTTAAGTAGTTTATTAAGTATATAATATTGTTTCATTTCTCAATCGATATAGTATCACCAACAAGAGATCAAACTGAAGCAAATTGAAGCTATTACCATAACAAAGTACAAGATTTCACAAGCTGATTCAAAAAAGTCTTTTTACCATCCTTTTGAATCTAAAACTACGTAAAACATTGATCTTTAGAAATGAGCAATTTCTCGTTTATCATAAGTTGCATGAAGGAATTGAAAAAATAAAATTTAAACTTTGGATTTTGGATTTTGGATTTTCTCGGGAAACAAACAGAGGATTAGGTTTAGAGGGGTTACCTTTCGAAGATCGCGCGCCAAAGATTGAGAGGGAAAGCACTGAAAGCAGTGAAAATGGGGGATTTGTTATTAGAAATTTATTAAGAAATAAGATTAAAATCTTTTACCTTTCCAGCCGAGTAAACACGTGACCTATTCACCAACTTGAATTTAAGTTTTTCATGGTAAATCTCATTTAGGCCCATTAAAAATCATTGCGCTCAAATCTATAAACCACATCGTAATCCTTAATAAAAGACATGTCGTTTATTTTCATACACTGTAAACGTGACATGTCGTTTACATTTGTGTTTCTTCAACGGTGTCTTTTGTGTAAATGACGTGTTGTTGAAGGCTTGAAGTTTCCGTAAGTTTAAATAAAATTCTTTATGGTAAATGTCATCTAAGTCCATCATAATCCTAAAATTAGGGGTTTTTTATGATTTACCGAATTTATGGTTTTAACTGATATTTACCTGAATGACGTCGTTTTCATACTCAAAAAACAATGTCGTTTTGCTTTACGAGAAACGTTGTCATTTTGACAATAAACGATGCTGTTTCATTTGCCATAAACAACATCGTTTAATGAAGAGAAAACGTTGTCGTTTCCTTTTCACAAAAACGACGGCGTTTTGTTCAGAAACACACGATATTGTTTCATAAAACTAAAACGATGTCGTTTTGATAAAACAAAATGGCACCGTTTTTATCTAACAAAATGACATCGTTTAGATAAGTACAAACGATGACGTTTCTTTTAGTGAAAACGACATGTAGACGTAAAAATCTACCTATACGTAAAAGGTTACCGGAAGTCTAGTCGGGGACTGTGACTACGGCTGTGATGTAAAGCTCTCGAGTAGGAGCTTCGGGTGTGAAGGTGTAATGTAGTGTCCTTTGTGAGAGGGCTGGCCTTTGCTTATATAGTGACTGTCTGGTCTCCCAGTCCTAGTAGAAGTAGGAGTCCTAGTATGACTCTGATGCAAACCCTAGAAGGATTAGGGCTGTGATAAGCTGTCTTACCAGTGTTCGAATAGGAAGGTGATTCTGATCAGGAAAATAACTTCGAGTAGGAAAGTGTTATGAACAGGAAAGTGACTTCGAGTAGAAGATTGATCAGGATCAGGAATATGATCAGTGCGCCGTGGACTCGGAACTTGCCTACAGGCCCATGAAGTGAACTCAAACTGGGAGGCCTGTGCCCAGAGGGTTTGGGTCGGTCGTATCTCGTATCAAATGAGACTGATCTGGCTTGGGCCTCTTTAGGACTGGGCCCGGTCTTTTCTTCACTAGTGGTCCTGTTTTCTTATTTGGGTCAAGGACGATTTTTGGCCCTAACACGACATCGTTTTGTTGAAGATAAAACGATGACTTTTTGATTTACACAAAACGACGTCATTTGTAGAATATAAAAACGATGCCGTTTTTCTTTACCCAAAACACCGTCGTTTTTCATTAGCACAAAACGATGTCGTATCAATGTTATAAACGACATTGTGCCCCTAGTAAAACAACAAGTCGTCCGTTTTGTAAATGGCATGTCGCACGATGGTAAAAACGATGTCATTTCGTTGAAAAGAAACAATGCCGTTTGTATTGGTAAATGATGTCATTTTGTGAGAAGAAAACGATGCCTTTCTTTTCCCTAAAACAATGCCATTTCGATCAATAGAAAACATTGTTGTTTCACTTTTGCTTAAATGACATCGTTTTTGTTAAGTTAAAAACATTACTGTTTTATTTTACCCAAAATGACACCGTTTCATTTAGTACTAAACGGTCCCGTTTTGTTTGCTATAAACGACGTCATGTTTAGGAGAATAAAACGGTGTCATTGTGTTTCCCTAAAGTGACACCGTTTTACGTTGCTACGGAACGACGACGTATACTTTGGTGTAAACAATGTCGTGCCCCTTTGTAAAACGACAAGTCATCCGTTTTGTAAACGGCATGTTGCACGATAGTCGAACTGGCACGAATACGCTGACATGAAATGAGTTCCCCACAGAGCAATTTGTTGCACCCCCTATCATTTGATGAAGTGCAGAAAAACCCAAAATTGATGTTGTTTTGTTCCCCGAAAACTTTGCAGTTTCCTTTTCCCATAAACAATGTAATTTGGTCGAAAAGAGACGATGTTGTTTTCTTTTGCCAGAGACGACACTGTTTTTGTTATCAAAAAATGATGTCGTTTCATTTGTCCCTAAAACGACGTCGTTTGTGTCAATACAAAACGATGTCATTTTGTTTGGTGTAAACAACGTCGTTTGCAGGGAAATAAAACGATGTCGTTTCATTTAATACAAAACGATGTAAACGACATCATTCTTTTTGATAAAACGACAGGTAGTCCGTTTTGTAAACGGCGTGGTGCACGATGGGAAATAATTTGCACCCCCTATCGTTTGATAAAGTGCAGAAAAACCCAAAAATTGATGGTTCTTAAATCTTAACGGACCAAAGTGATATTTACATTAATAAAAAATTGAAATCGAAGTAGGAACGACATCTCGTTTACACGAAAAATGGAGATGTGTTTTGCAAATAAAAATAAAAAATGAATAAACAAAGCTCAAGTAAATTCATAACAGCCAACAGGAAGCTTTAAGCATTGCCATCACTGATGATCAAGCTTTCATATGAAATGAACAACCAACTAACAATCCGATGTGTTCATCATCATTCTTGCTCTGCTCTACTCTTAGTCCNTGGGAACATGTCGTTTGCTCTATTTTTAAGGATAAAAGAACTTTACAAGATGTTGTAAATGATTAGGCTCAACATAACTGAGGGGTTCACTTGAAGAGTCTTTCATGGTATTACCTATTTTTTTTTTTTGTTATAATCATACAGATTTGTAATCCAGGTATAGTGACTCATATATAGACCGGTGATCAAACATACCCGTGAACACATTTAACTAGGCATCTGTTGTAGCACTACAAATGATGATAGTATCCCATTTCAACTCATTCTTTGGTGGTTCTTGACCAAGCTCTTTCCAATAATGTGTCTAATGTAACATGTTAGGGATGCTAGTAACAATACGTGTCATGGTCTTTTTAATTGAACATTTGAGGTGTTGAAAAGGGAAGAATTGTAAACGTATATGTGTCATCCTTTCAAATCAAGTTGTCCACACACCTAATGCAAATTTGCAATGTTGATTGTATTATAAACATGTATTCATTCCATATTATATTGTTGTGACTTAGACAAAGGGACTTGAGGCCGTGTTTGTAAAGCCAATGAAAAGTTGTGTAACTGATGGGCTAGACTATGGGATGGTCCACCTCATAGAGTAGATCCTCTAAGGGATGGGCGCCAATCTTGGTCGGATCATGGCGTAGAGCAAACTGTCTATGGGCTATGGTGTACACCCAAATGTGGTTGGGCTTAATCTAGGCCCAACACGGATTCTTACCCATATAGGAGTAGATATATAATTTTATCTAATAAATCTTATTTAGTTAGAGGTTTAGAAAGAGATTTAATGGGCTTAAATAACACCACTCTTTTTAATTAATTAAAGTTTCATTTAACATAGTACAAACGCAAGTATACTTTCCTGGTCTCTCTTTAGCCGAATGGGCACTTCAAAGTATCTAGGGGTGTATTTAGCTGATATATATCTCAAGCCCATTCTTTATATTAAATTTCTTTTTTTATCGTAATCCAAAAATTTGTAACTACCCTAACCCTGAAGAAGACAATTGCAGAGACTTCTTAAAACCCTAAACGCAAAGAAAATAGCAGAGAAAACGACGCCGTTTCAGTTGTTAACGATATGCCGAAGTCGAAGCGTGACCGAGCAGGTAGGCTTTGTCTCGTTTTTCATTAACTTAAAATTTTATGTAATTTTGATGTAATGTTTATAAATGAACGAATTGCAGTTACTTTGTCAAAGACGAAGAAGAAAGGGAGAGAACACAAAGATGTTTATTTGATTTGGTGGGAATGTATTGTTGGAGTTATATATATATATCCCGTTGCTTTTAATTTTTTTTTTTTTTTTTTTTTTTTTTTTTTTTTGACAAATATGTCGAAAGAAAAAAGGTCGAGAGGTAATTTTTTGGAGTATATATATATCCCGTTGGGGTTTTTTATTTATTTGATTTGGTGGGAATGTATTGTTGGATGGCAATGATTCTTTTTAGTAAGTTTAATAATTAAATCTATGGAAAGATTTAAGTTTCTGTTCTTGTCAATGATTTTGAATTGATTAACAAGGTATAGAATAGAGGGCTATGATCCCACTTGTTTATGTTAAACTTTATGAAATGTGTTTGGAGAATTACCTAATTGAATCTTGTAACGCTAATGGACGCTTTTAATGCATTCCCATTCAATTTAAAATTAATCTTTGTATATTTTGTTATATCTTGCTTCCCGTGTGTTATATTTTTCACTCTTCATTTACTTTCTTCGTTTTGCAGCTTATTTAATAAGTATGAAGAATATGACTTTGCAAGGACATGAAGCATGCAACAGAAAAGGTTTGCATATATGTATTAGTATAAAACACAAGTCTATCCCTTTGTTGATGACTGAGGAAGGATGATTTGAAGATTCAAAGTTTCTTGATACTCATACAACTTTTTATGGTCATAATGCTATGATCTCTTCAACTTAATGCCTTTTTTTTTTTTGGTCTGAATCATTAGTGATTTGTTAGCATTATTTGAATACATGATATACTTTCTTGTGTTCTGGACTTTAAATCTTTTGCATGCTTTCAAAATTTTCAGAGGAACTTTCTTCAGGTCCTCCTGAACAGTTACACGTGAGATGGAGCCCTTATTGAGAAAGCAAGGGATGCCTGTTCGGCTAAACAAAGGTGAGCCTTATTGCTTTCTTCTTGCTGCTCTGCGTCATACATTTAAATAGGAAAAGTTATGTTTGAATATTAATTTTATTCTTGCTGCACAGGTGTGGTGGAACTTGTTTCAGATTTTGTTGTGTGTGAAGAGGGAAAGCCTATATCACCCGAGTCAGCTCGCATACTGGTATGTTCTGGTCTTTTAGCTTATTTTTTAAGTTATAGTATTGTGGGAGTCCCTAGCTTGGCAGCACTGGGTGCTTGATTCTTGTTAATAAATTTTGGAAAATAATACAGCCATCGACGATAGTGCACTGAATTTGTGCACCGAATGACGTGGCAAAATCCTGACTGTTGATTAATTTTAACTTAATATTAATTAACGGTCAGGATTTTGTCACGTCATTCGGTGCACAAATTCGGTGCAATACCGTCGGTGGTTATAACATTACTCATAAATTTTTGAGTCTTTATTCAATTTTTGCCTTCTCTGTGTTATTTTGGTTCAACTTAGTGAAAAAAGTAACGCTTTTTAATGTGTTTAACAGTAGTGCTATTTGTATATTCTATATGCAGCACACTAATGTCGTCATCTATGATATTAGTCCTAGCAATATGACTTGGTATTGCAGTATTATATCGATCCTTAGGATCAAAGCATCCTAGTATATTCCATATTTAAAACTTGCAATTTTATTTTAATGTCGTAAAATTTTTGGCATGTTAACACCAGGGAATGTTCTTTGCTTCAATTTAGGGTTTTCCCTTTGTAATTGTTTGTGTTTCAAATGCTGGAACTAGCTGCAGCTTCCCTTTTTTTCCCCCCTAATGCTCCCATTGTCAATTTTATGGTTATGATTAATTGGGTGAATGCATGAAGCGGTAGTTATATTAACCTCTGTCAAAGTTATTTCCCGGTCATTTCGTATGATATAATTGCTATCGTGTGCTTTTTAATATTCACTGTGGTTGTAATATACCCTGTTCCTTGGGAAATTGACATGTGATTGACCTGTTATATTTCTTTTTTTGCAGCGTTTGTTGGGGATCAAGATGGCTACCTTCAAACTTCACCTAATTTGCCGATGGAGTCCAGATGATTTTGAACTTTATAGAGAAGGACTTGATGAATCGGATGTTGAATCAGCATAATGGAATGTTTTAGGTTCATGTACAATTTGAAGATTTTACTTCTTTATTCATGTTGAATATGCCTGGAATGTTGTTAGAATAGTATTTTAACAAATGCACTTTAAATATTTTAAAACANTTATAGAGAAGGACTTGATGAATCCGATGTTGAATCAGCATAATAGAATGGTTTAGGTTCACGTACTAGTCAAGTTGAATATGCCTGGAATGCTGATGTGATCTTTGTACTATGATTTCTTAGTTATGTTGTGTCTGGGTTTTGGGTTGTGTCCACACACTATTAGTAGAAGTTTTGATATCTTATTTTGTGTGTGCGGCCAATTAGGATTAATTTGCTTGAGTTGATAAGTTTGGGTTGAAAGACTTTCCCTTTTCTTGGTAAATAGTAGCTCTATGACAAAAAATGATCGATTCCACTTGAGGAATTATTAAATTATTTAACAATTCTCTGGTTTATTCTCTGATTTTTCATATTTTTAATAAAACTAAGGCACATTTCATAAGAAAACGAAAAGCTTATGAGGCAAGCTTTATATTCAGGGAGACATGAAGTTATGACAGCCAATGGAGTTAGAAAATTATTTTTGAAGGTAAAAATGTAAAGATTACCAAATGAGAGTGATCAAAGTGTAAAATTTGAATATTTGCAGTATGAAACTCAATGCGTATGTAATTTTTTTTGAATTTGCCGTTAAAAGCTCTGCCCTGCTTGTACTAAATAATATTGGTCTAAATTTGATGGAAAGTATTACATTTTATTCTTTACAGTTTTGCAGAATGCCGAACCAAACGACGTTTGTGGAAATTACGGCAATTCCAATTTGCGTAGCTGTACACCGCTCCCAAATTTTAGTTTTTGGTTTAATTATTATCACTTGCAGCAGTAATAAGAATTTCAATAATCAGGTTTATGCTTGGTAAAATTTCACCCAACAGATGACAGAATATGATTCTAACAAATAAACCCACACATTTTTAACAAACGTTCATTATATTTAACAATACAAAGGTTTAAGTGTAAAAAACATTTTGATAATACTATTAAACCGAGCAACAAAAAAACACTTTCTCATTTTTTTCATTTAATTTCACTGTTCCAACGAAAATTTAAATTCATAATCTCAAATTAAACCCTAGAAACTTAAGCTACTAATTTAAAGGGCTTCATTGATGGAACAAAACCTATACGTATCTCTTCATTGATGGAAACTTCGTTAAACAAATTTTCATTCATATCCATAAACATTCATATAACCAATTATATAAATTCATATACATGTTCATATAAAATTTTAGCAGAAACAAATTAACACTAACCTCCAACCATAGCAATTTGTTGTTATTGTCTTCTTCAAAGATTACAGATTCTTTCAATGTACTGTAATTTCTCATAACAATGGTTTTGAGAATATCAGATAATTAATTGTATGTATTGAGGACCTGTAACTGTTCCCCTTTTAAAGTACGCATAAGTATTTCCATCAAAGATAATTGTTGGGGATAACTTCTAAACTGCTAAGTAATTGCTCAACAGTTAATTATTTATAAAACTACAATATAAAAGTGTAGGACCAAATAGTAATTTTAATAAATGAATATTAATTAATTAAAATTCTAACATTCTTCCACTTGGTCCAAACTTTTATTACATAATTCACAACACAATAGGTTTATATTCTTTATGTTTAATTAGAAAAATAGAATTGCATTAATTATAGCCGTAAGTCTCTTTTAAACAAGTATTATTTTCTATGTATTACTATTCAATTTTTCTCTTTCTAAATAAACTCAAAATGTGGAAAATCACTCTATGAACAAACCTCAAATATCTGTTCCAGGTCGACTAGAATGTTTGTTATTCTCCAACCAAAATGTATACAACTTAAAGAGAAAACAAGATGAATTACAAAGTTTTAGAGAATGAAAGTATTACCTCTCAAAGTGACAAATTGGAATGTAGTCCCATTTGAACTACATGATCCTTGAACGTCTTTGGTGGTATGCCTTTTGTCAAAGGATCAACAATCATTTTCTCAGTATGTATGTGTTCAATGACCACTTCTTTGGCTTTAAAGTGCTCCCTTATTGCTAAGTATTTAATGTTGATCTGTTTACTTCGACCTCCACTCTTATTTTTCTTAGCAAAGAACACAACAGTTGAATTGTCACAATACAACTTTATCAGCCTAGAGATAGACTCAAAACTCCAAGCCCATAAATGAAACTTCTCAACCAAATACCTTGTGTAGTAGCCTCAAAATAGAAANGCCTTCACACTGCTGATTAACATACTAAGTTGGTGACCCTCGCCAAAATTAAACTTATCTCCATCATCAAGATTAAATCTTGCTTTCTTTCTCCGACAATCAATCTCTACTCCAAACCTCCCCAGGAAATCCATGCCTAAAACAACATCAAAATCAAGCATATCAAATACTATCAAATCCACCGGCAACTCCCTTCCATGGATCACTACGGACTCCCTTAGAAGCATCTCTTGAGTTACTACACTAATACCATCTGGTAACTCTATCTTAATGGGACAATCCACTCTAATAGGTTTTAAACCTAATCTCTCTAAAATCCCATGTGTAATGAATGAATGTGTGACTCTAGAATCAATTAATGCATAAAGAGGAACTGAATGAAATAATAACTGACCAGTAACTGCGGATGGGCTGGCTTCAGCTTCACTTGGGCTACTGTAAACACTCGAGCATTGGTACCTCTAGATGTCTGCGTTGCGGGTGTAGGAGGGGCTTTACAATCTTTCATCATATGCCCTGGCTGTCGGCATCTGTAACATACATTTCGGCCCAAATCTCTAAGACATTCCCCATAATGATTTATTCCACACTTCTGGCACTAGGGAACTTCATTAGTTCTCGGCTTTTTATTCTGCCAATCCCTCATGTTCTTCTTGGGTTAAAACTTTTTCTTATTTCTTACCTCTCTATTCGTAGGGGCATCAACTCTATCTCTTTGTGGAGCAGGAGGTGGAACACTAGGGGCTACTGCTGATGAGGTTGCCGGGGTTAGCTTATTCACAAATATTTCTACCCGTAAAGCTCGTTCCAAAGCTTCACTGTATGTCTGAGGGGGCTGGGCACCGGCCATCACATCTCGGGCTATTTCTAGTTTTAGCCCATGCTGCACGAATTTATCTCTCCTCAACTCTGGTGTACTCACTACTCTTGGCGCAAACCTTGCCAGGGAATTGAATTTCACTAAATCAGCCTCCTGTTGCAAACTAATAAACTCCTAAATCTTTTCATGGACTCGATCAACTGTTCTATATTCTGCCTCAAACAATCTCCTGAAATCTCCCCAGGTCATCAAAGCTGTATCATGAGTATCCTCCATCAATTCCTACCATATACGGGCATCACCCCTAAATAAAAAACTGGCATATTGAATCTTCTCTCGGTCTGTCATAGGGAAAAGTGCTGTCGTACGCTCCACTGATTTGAACCACTCATCTACCACTAGTGGGTCCACTGTATCCCTAAATTCTGACGGCTGGTGTTGACTAGGCAACCCATAAATCGGCTTAATACGATTCTGCACTACTGGGGTACCGGCCTCTCTCTCTCCTCTCTAGGGGTCGGTACAATCACCAGGGTCTCAACTCTCTCTGGTACCTCCCCAATTTTCTACCAAGACTTGTTGTATAATATTACGAATCCTCGCTTGATCGAGGACAAGGGGAGTAGATTCTGGAGGGTTGGAAGGTTCACCCGTGCTCATTTCCTTCCTACTGCTTCCTCGGGTTCTACGTCTCATCTACATAAACCAACACTTTTAGTCAACTCAATTCACTCATCTACTACAAGTAAGGAAAGAATTAACTTACAGCGGTCGGCTACAGAACATCAACGTGGCAGGAGAGGCACACTGTCAAATCCCAAAACCTTTGCTCTGATACAAAAAATGTAATGCTTTCTTTCTAACTAGTATACTCTTAAAATAATCACTAAAACTCATTAAAAATATATATAAGAAAATACACACATATATATATGAGTAATAAAGTATGGGCCCATATTTAATTTTTCTTTATATACAAATATTTACAAAATGTTCTCAAAAATAGCAACTTGATAGTGTAGCCTGACCCTTCCACTGCGTGACGTTCCGAGCGATCGCAACTCACCTATTACCTGCAAAACATTAAAAACAACGGAGTGAGCACCAATGACTCAGTAAGTAAACCCACTATGCTACCTTTCTCTCTCTCCGTTGCTTAAAATTCCAAATCTTCTTTCCTTACATCACATTTCCCGATTATTCTCTATTCTTTCCCTTTTCTTCTCTCTATTCTTTATCTATTCTTTCTCTGTTTTGCTCTCTGTTTTTCTCTTTGTTTTCTAAATTTCTCACTACACATGATAATGAGCGTGGTATTATGCATATTCATGACGCAAATGCACAAATGCATAAATTATGCATTTTCTTTTTTCTAAATTTCTTATTCTGTTTTCTTTATTTCTTTCTTTCTTTTCTAGTCTTTCTTTCTATTCTTTCTTTCTATTCTTTCTTTTTCTTTTCTATTCTTGCCGATCGTACTCGGTTGAGGCATGGATTTGGAGCCTTGGCCGTGTGAGTGAATTCTCTAATTCTGGGTACAGTCCTCATCCACACACACTTCTAACGGATTGTACATTTCTTCTTTCTTCTTTCTGAGGCCGCTCACTAAGGCGGCGTGCATATGGGACTATGTCACTCACGGCTCCTCATCGCAACATCCTTCTCTTCTTTTTATCTTTTTTTACACTTCTTTAAGAAAAATTCAGATTTAAATATCTTTAATATTCTCATTTCTTTCTATTTTCTCTTTAACATATTTTAGGGCATTTTCATGCTCTTATGAATATGTATGCATGTAGATGGTTTCATGCTTATAATTCTTTCTAAATTCACATATTATGGAATGCAAACATGTCATTCTCTACCATCTACCATCTACAAACACATCCCAAGGTAACACATAATCATAATCATACTCATACATGCACTTCTCCTTGGCATTTCATCAAACAATTCATGTGCACAAATCAACACTAATTTGGCTACACTTTTATCTCTATTTTAGGCCACCAAAAATTTGGAATAAACTCCTCTATAATTAAAACCAAATCTGCCCAAAATACACACTTCAAAATTTTCATTTCAATTCTTCCAACTCTCATCCAAACATTCATCAAATAACAACTACACCAACACAACTTCTCATGGATAGGTTCTAATCATTATTCAACACCAAATCCATCAACAATTCTACATATAACACATATATATGCATAAAGAAAGTTCTTTACACAACATAACTTAAATCATACTTAGGGTAGGATTTACTTACCTTTGATATGAGCAAATTCAACCCTTTAAGAATCTCCTTTGATCAAACTTTCTTCCTCTTAAATCCTATGAACATAAACCAT